CGAGGATCCCGATCCAATTCTTGTTGGGGTACAACCGTGTGTGCCCAAATCCAAATTTGAAACATCTTCCAAACTCTAACCACACGATTCCTTCACGGCAGCAGTTCAGGAGGAAGACGGACTGACAATACTGCATCTTCTTCCTCTCCTTGCTCCCTATTAGTGGCGGAAGTAGCTATGGGCTTGGGGGTGCATCAGCCCCTGCAGAATATTTTTTAATAATATATATATATATATATATATATATATATACATATATAAGAGATCAAATACAAACCATGCTTAAAATACTAACCTACAAACTCAATAATATGCATCACTTTGAACTTCAATATGCATTAAAAATAATGTAAAGATGTAGTAGTGGGATCTCATACAAACTAGTCCTCCCATTCAAATTGTCTTTACATTATTTGTATTGCACATTGAAGTTCAAAGTGTTTCATATTATTGAAGTCATAAAATAGTAGTTTCATATTTACATTATTTGTATTGCATATTGAAATTCAAAGAGTGCATCTTTACATTATTTGTATTGCATATTGAAGTTCAAAGTGTTGCATATTATTGAGTTTGTAGGTTAGTAAGTTAAGCATGGTTTGTTATGTGATCTCACCCCTATATATATATATATATATATATATATATATATATATATATATATATATATATATATATATATATATATATATATATATATATATATATATATATATATATATATACACACACATATATATATACAAACATTTGCACAATAAGCACAGTTTGTACTTGATCTTTCCCCTATGTGTGTGTGTGTGTGTGTGTGTGTATATATTGAGGTTCAAAGTGTTGCATATTATATAGTCATAAAATAGCAGTTGCACATTTACGTTCAATGAGTTACACCCTAGAAAAGTTAGGTTTTATTACAAAAATGTCACCTTGCATTTATATCCTTTAGATCAACTCATCGGATCGCCAAGATAAGTTTGTACTTTGTAAATTAAGCATGATTTGTATTTGATCTCTATTCTATATATATATATATATATATATATATATATATATATATATATATATATATATATATATATATAGTAGTGTTCCGGTCAGGAATTCCTGACCGGAACCGCCGTCCGGACGGTGGCGTTTGGCCGCCTTCCCGGTGGAAGTTTTTGATGAAATTTTTATGGCATGTTCTTAATCAAGTCTAGTTTATCCAAGAAAACATTCAGCTAAAAATTCAATCGAGAAGATTGTCAAATAACTTTTGAAAGTTAACTGCGCCGGAAATCACATATAAAATGCAGTTAACTTTCAAAAAATATTTGACGACCTTCCCAATTGCGTTTTTAGCTGAATTTTTTGTGGATAAACTAGACTTGATGAAGAACATGCCATAAAAATTTCATAAAAAATTCGACCGGGAACCACCCCAAACGGCGGTGGCCGGACGGAGGTTCTGGTCCGAAATTCCGGACCTGAACTTCTCTCTCTCTCTCTCTCTCTCTCTCTATATATATATATATATATATATATATATATATATATATACACTAAGTTTAATTAACCAGACCCTGTAGCCTAGATAATTTCGTGATATATATGATTTCTTTGTTAATGAGCCCCTGCAAGTCACGAATCCTAGTTCCGTCACTGCTCCCTATTCATAACATTCTCCGTCATTCGAGTAATCAGCCTATTTCAGTCACATAGCCCTATCTTCGAATCACAACAGTTGTTGTCAAAGCAAAACACAAAATCAATCAAATATCTACCCCCGAGGACATCTGAGTTACACCAAAATTGGAAACCTTATGCCCTCAAAAAGGAAAACGCGGAAGAAAAAAAATTGATAGCTTAATTCGGACAAAATGAATCGGCGGCCGGAAAAGATCAATCCAAACTCAAACGAAGAGGAACAAGCCAAACTGTCGCACTAACTAATTGGAGGACGAAGAAACAAACCTACCATACGGAGGGAACCATGACCGTAGGTGAAAGATCGAAACAATGACGAAGAGGTAAGAAGATGATACCTTCTATAGAGCAATAAAGTTTAGGAGAAGCCATCGTGCAACCACGTGCCATCGTGGCTGAAACCCTAGGCGGATGGAGCGATCGTTCTTAACTTTTATTTTGCTTCTTTATTTGTTTTTGTGATGATATTTTGCTTCTTTATTATTCTCTTTAACTAATCAAATCATTAGTATATGTGTGGAAATGATAAATTAATATCATTGTGGTTAGATGATGTGTACTATTTAGAAGTACATAAACACCACATTTTAGAATGGTTTTACATTATGTTTACTTAGCTTTTGTACAATTACGGTGTAATCTTTATCTTCTAAAATTAAAGAAGAATTAGAAGATATTAAAATATTTTGACATGTAAGCAAAAACATGATGAAAAGAAGAGGAAGGAGCTTGGGAGCATAAGGAAGGAGCATTGGAGACAAGAGGAAGCTTCATGGAGGACAAAGATGTTGAAAAATCGGATATGATTCGACTCGGAGATCATAAGAGATCAAATAAAACAAGTGAACATGGTAAAATCAGATTATGTCTTAGACCCAACCACCTCACTTCTCCTATAAAAACACCTCTTTCCTTCCTATTTTAGATACCAATTTAATCCCCTCTTTCATATACACTTTATTCTTGTAATTTAGGTAGTATTTCCATCTTGGTTTTGCTACTTTGAAGCTTAATGAATTGTAAGTTGTGAGTTATGTTATTTAATTTTCTTCCTTGAATATTAATTTTTCCCTTAATACTATCTCTATATTAATGTTGGGGAGTGTTACTAAGATGACAATTAGTTAACATCTCGACATTAGTTAGAGTAGTATTTATTTTCTTCCTCTATATTAATGTTGGGGAGTGTTACTAAAATGATAATTAGTTAACATCTTGACATTAGTTATAGTAGGATTTATATCTTCTTTAATATTCTTACTTGAATACTCCGTATTAATTAATTCCTATTCATATTTTATTTTAATATTTTGAGCATTACTTAAAGGATCAACTAGTTTTGTCTCATATATTAATTATTACTAGAATCGATCGACGAATACGCTTGTTAATCGTTCGATCTTTTCACGGTAGTAAACTTGGATTATTAATGCATGCGCCTCATGATTAATAATCTAAGGGGAATTAATTATATTGATTAAACCAATAAACCGCTTGTGTTGAGATTATCAATTTCAATCATTTTCATCTTGAATTTATTGCTACTATCGAGTAAATATACGACACGTGTTCTACAATTATTCGGTAGTAAGTTTTATTAATGAACGCGTCTCGTTATTAATAACTACCCTCGATGAACTGGATATACTCCTCGATTGACTATTCGAGAGGAAGATAGTTAAAGATATAACCGGGATCGACGAACATTTCATTAAGTGGATAAAAGCAAAACCAAGACTAATTACTAGGGTTGGACTCGGGCCGGGTCGGGCCGGGTCGGGCCCGGGTCGGCGGTTCTATATAGTTGGACCCGGGACCGGCCTGGGTAGCCACCGGGTCCGGGCCGGGCCGGGCCGGGCCTCGGGTTTGGTTAATTTTTTTTTTTTTTGCTTAGCTACCCATCCCTGACCCCCCCCCACCCCCCCACCCCCCAAACCCCTCCTAAACATCAAGCCCAACCCGGTGGAGCCCAAACAAATGAAAAAAACCCAAAAAAAAATAAATTTGACCCGAACCGGGCCCGGGCCCGGCCGGGCCGGGCCTTGTTATGGGTGACCCGAGCCCGGACCGGAAACCCACCGGGTCGGGCCTACCCGGACCGGTCACTGACCGGACCACCGGTTCGGGCCGGGCCGGAACAGTACCGGTCCCGGGCCGGTTCCGGGTCGGGCCACCCGGCCCGAGTCCAACCCTACTAATTACCTTTGATATTTTATTTCACTCATTTAAGTATTTTATTTGCTTTCTCAATTATCAAAATATCCAATTCCCCCTTCCGTTTACTTTTATTTATTACGCTTACACATACGCGAAAAGCTCATTTCCCTGTGGATACGAACTCTACCACGCTATACTACGGTATTAGCCCTTAGTAGTTAATTTAATTTGAGGCACACTACGACAAAGTGCTCGTCATTAGAAATAAGAATTGTTATTCAAACCGGTTAAATGTGGTACAATTCTATTGAAATGATCGATTCTGCTGAAATTTATTTAGTTCTGGCTAAAGTAACTGGATTGACTGGTTCTATTCAATTATGAAAAAATGTGTTTAAAATACGTAGTATACTTTATTAATTAAATACAAAAATATGAAAAAAAGTTAACATAGACTTTTACAGTATGACAGTATCAGTCAATTCAGTCAGAAAAGTAACTCCAACCTTACCTATTTTGATTATCATATAATTCAATGCGCATAATCAAAAGGTACGTATTTGTTGAAAAAGTTGGTTATAAACCGAAAAATATGGTCACCAAACGTAATCTAAACGTTCTATTGTAGCGTTTTGGCTAGGCATGACCCGGTCCGGTCCTATCCGGATTTTGGGTTGAGGCCGGCCGATATTTGCCAAAGAAATGGGAGACCCAGGAGCATCCCGCTATAGCGGTTTCGAACCAGGCCAAGTAGACGAGGCATCCCATGCCTGGAAATGGGATTCGAGAGGCGCCGAAGAAGATAAGTCGAAAGAGAGGCGTATGAAGTCCGCATCTAGAGTGTGCACGAGTATACCATTGTTGAGATTGATTGAATGATTATGATTTATAACCTCTCATATACTTTGTCGTACTTTGTCGGATCGGACTTTGGGAGTTGGGACCTTAGGATTGGGGGTTAACTTTTTGGACAAATTGTTCCTTTGTCCAGGAAATCTGTTTCTGCGCTTTATAACTAGTAAGAAGTCCATTCATCGTAGTCATCGATACCTGGTAGATCGGAACTTATACAGAGCCTTTGCGGCAAACCTCACAGGCTCACACAGCACAAACGGATACGTTCATTCACCCAGTCAAAGTAGAGTCAGATCAGTGGACTGGCAAACCCAGGCGTATAAGAATGTATTATTATTGATGAATTTTAAGAGTACGGCAAAGTTTCATAGTAGTTTGCCAAAATATATATTTAGAATAAAACAATTTCTATCTATAACAATACTTCCTATAAAGCGTGGTTTGAGGGAAGATGTTCCGAACCTTAAAGGAAACATCTTATTATGATAATTATAATTATTCAACCGCAAGCGAAGTGCTTTTATGCGTTGGTGAATCAGTTCACACCATAAATCCACTTCTCTGCATTGCTGGTGTAGTTTACCAACTCTTCTGGTTTGAACCATAGGCCGATTTCATCCTTTGCCGTCTCCGGGCCATCACTGCCATGGATTATATTCCTGCATGTAAGAAATTCATACTCATTATATTGCCTCTCAAATTAAAGCTGATTAGCTGGAAACAGACCCATGCCATTTTGACATGAGGCTTAAGGCAAATGGCGACTCGAATAAGGCCAACAAAGGAAGTGTTAGAATTTGGTTCAAATACGAAGAGTAAATTAAAAGTAAATTTGGTGAATCGGGTTTGAAATCAATAGCTCTAAATATATCAAGCACTCATTAGGATAAGAAATGCAGTGACATTTTGAAAAATAAAAACTGGCACCCATTTCCAAAAGTGTATCCATAATCCATAAGGCTGAAACAGCCTATTGACCTGAAATCGCAGACAGAAAAAGCCTATGAAAGGTTGAGAGTTGAAATTAGAGTTTATGATACCTTCCAACTACAACGGCTAAGTCACCTCTGATAGTTCCAGGTTCCGATTTTTGTGGATCTGTTGCACCAATAAGCTTACGACCATATTTTATCACTCCTTCACCTTCCCAAACCTACAAGAATAACAATATGTGTGCTCAAAACACATTTTATTCTTCCAAGCCTAGTGTGTTGGTTGTTGATTCGAATTGGAAATCTGAGAAGATTTCTAACCATCGCAACAACAGGGCCAGAGCTAAGGAAGTCACATAAGCCACTAAAGAAAGGTCTTTCCTTGAGATCATGATAATGCTTCTCAGCGAACTCCTTGGAAGGTATCAAAACCTTTATTGCAACTAGCTTGTATCCTTTCCGCTCAAAACGAGCTATTATTTCTGCAATCTGATACCGAAACTCTATTAGACCTAGAAGAATCATTACAAAGGCATGTCGACACTGGAAATAGGTTTCTTAGGCACTTTCCGGAGGAGAAAGAGCACCGTATGGATGTTGAAAGAAACAAGAAAGCCACAAAAATATCATACCAGGCCTCTTTGCACTCCATCGGGTTTGATTGCTATAAAGGTCCGCTCCATCTTGAAATATAAAAAATATCATCATCAGCCAATACGTCAAAATGTAAGCGAGAGACAACATGCTCCTAAGAATAGGAAAAATAGCTACCTCAGCGGCATATGCTTCTTGCTCCTGGAGCATGTAAGCTGATAAAGAAATGCAGCATAAGAAATGAGTGTTAAATTTTGAGCTGTGGTAAAAATTCAAATAATAAAAACTTCATTTAGACTTGGATCTTCATACGAAATCATCAATCTATCAAGGGGAAGAGCCTAGACTCCAGTGCCATATATATTATTGGTTTTTCAACTTGTTCGGTACTTCGAAGTAAGATGTTTTAACATTTAATGAACCTGAAGAAATATTAGCTTATTGTGGGCATCCATGGAAATGCTTTTAAGATTGTGAATTTGACAACTTACAATGATTATATTGGTGTGCTTCATGTTAGGATAGGATGAAGCTTGAATGGGGATAAGGCTCGGTTGTTATTGTAGGAAAGTGGTCAAATTTGATTGTACAAGTGAATGAGAATACCATGATAGTATTATACCACTGATATAATCAAACTAGCTTTCTTCTTCGATTTCCTTCAGGAAAGTATATTTTTAGGATAACTAAATTAAAGCATTGTAGATGGACGGCTGAAATACTGAATATTAGGCAATATGAAGCCCAAATAGAAATATAAAAAAGAGAGAAATTATTTTAAAAGAGCTTCATTTTAAGATCAAGCACACAAGCAAACATATTGTGAACAAAACTGACCTGCTACGGGAAGAGCAACAAACCCTGAAATCCAAGATCTAGAGGCATTTGTAGATTCTTCCCTACCATACAAGGCAAGAGAAGGCAAAATTCCTCTGAGAGAAACAGCTGTAGCTGCTGCAGCTGCTCGCCCGCCTGCAGAAATCATGCATCAGAACACCATGTAAAACATATGTACTTCCTTTCTGATTCATTTATATTTATTGAGTACAAGAACAAGTAAAAGATCCATTTTATTCACTAAAGAGAAAAAAAACATTTGATTGTATCCAAACAACAAGATCAACCTACAGAAGCATACATCGGTTAAGGAAAATCTATCGAGAAAAACAAAGTATTATCACAAGTTCACAACAACTGACAGATCAAGGACATATAATACTAGTTGGACGTCCATCGATGACAACAATATCAAATCCAACAATCTCCACCAGACTACCCTACACCTTGCATTCCGGAACAGAGATTCCTTAAAGTGAAACGTTAATAAAATCTTGAAGTCCAATTTGAATTCAACTGAAGTGAAACGAGAAAATTACCGGAAATGGAGCGCGAGCTCTGCTTGGAATAAGAAGAGAGAAGAGACCTGGCAGCTCGCGAAGCAGCAGATCTGCAAATCTGTGAGCTCATCTTCTAGAGCTTTCGATGGAGCACAACGATGTGATCACTGGATGCTTCAGCTAGGTACAGAGACAGCTGGGAATGGCAGTGAAAGAGCAGGCAAGGCAGATGCTTAAATGGTGATTACGCTTAAGGGGTGACGTCGCCCGTCACAGTGAGCTCCTAAAAGCATGGAACGTATCGGATTCGTTCGTAAAAAAAGGCTTACGTTTTCCACGAAAACGTGACTCACGGCGAGTCACACGAAAATATATTGTTTGGTTTCTTTCCTCTTTTTAAACAATCAAAAGTTTTCCTAAAAACTACTCCATATTTCCTTCGGGCAACAAAATTCTTCTCATATTTTTTGATGTCTCAACAAATTATTCACATTTTGTTTTGTTTGACTAAAATTTATTTACATTTTTATATTCAACCATTATCATACATTTCTACTATATTCTCACTTTCTTAATAAGCGTGTCAAGTCAAGTTAAGAAATATTTTTTAAGACGGATGGACAACTTGTACAAGAAATTTGTACATATTTTGTACCTATACGTAATTTTTAGTGCACACAGATAATGTTGCACGAGCTGTCTCTACAAAGGCAACCAATGGAATTGAACAGACAATTACGTACAAATGATATATGACTTGCCGGAGCTATGGTTGTGACATTTACGTGACGAGCTGTCACAATTACGTGACGAGCACTTTGTCACGGTGCGTCAAAATAAATTCAATACTAAACACTTATACGTAGTATAGCGTAGTAGAGTTCGTATCCACAGGGAAAGGAATAATTCTCTTTTTATGAAACTTAGTAAATAAAGGGGGGATTTGGATTGAGTGATTTAATTTAATTAAAAACTAAGATGAACGACCTATATGAGATTTAAGTCAAAGATAAAAAGGATTTGGCATTGCTACTTTCCACTTGTTGATTTATTTTAGTCGATCATTGTTATATCTATAACTTATTCCCTCTCGAATACTCAATCGGGGAGTATATCCACTTCATCGAGGGTAGTTATTAACAACAACCGTTCATTAATAACCCTTACTATTAATCAAATATAGAACAACGCCTTATACCGATTTAATAGTAGCATTGAATCTTTCTAACTCCTTGATGAAATCAATTGAGATTGATAACCTCAACACAACGGTTTCGGTTTAACCAACAAAATTAATCCCTCTTAAGTTTATTAACCACGACCGTGCATTAATAAGCTGAAGTTACTTACTTGTGAAACCATCAACGATTAACCATCGGTTCGTTGATCGTTTCTAGTAATAATTAATATATGAAACAAAACTAGTTGATCCTTTAAGTAATGTTCAAAATATTAATATGAAATATGAGCAGGAATTAATTAATATTCAAGGAAGAATATTATTAAAGAAGATGAATCCTACTATAATTAATATCAAGATGTTAACTAATTGTCATCTTAGCAACACTCCCTAACATTAATATAGAGGAAGAAAATACCATTCTAACTAATGTCGAGATGTTAACTAATTGTCATCTTAGCAACACTCCCCAACATTAATATAGAGATGGTATTAAGGAAAGAACTATTAATTAATATTCAAGGAAAGAAGTTAAGAAAATAACTCACAACTTTAATAATCAACAAGTTTCAAGAGCAACACCAAGAATGGAAGTTTAGCTCCTCATTTGGAGACTAAACATAGCTAGAAAAATATAAAGAAATGCTATTCTAAACTGAGCTTAAGAGTATGGAAGAAGGGATGATGAAATGTGAAGGAAAATGGGGCTATTTATAGGTGTTTTCAACACCTAATGCCGGATACCCGGCCGGGTATTTTGACATACCCGACCGGGTATTTACCAAATCAAATATTTTCCCATGTTTTTGTGTCTTCTGCACGTTCTTTGGTCCGAAATCATAGAATACCCGACCGGGTATATGGAATACCCGACCGGGTATTTGCTAGTTTTGCAGCAGTTTCCTTTGTCACTTCATACCCGGCCGGGTAAAGTCCATACCCGACCGGGTTTTGCACAAAACTCAGTTTTCTTCATCCTTTTTGCTTCCAAACCTATCCTAAACTTATAGCCAAACTAACTACAACTTACAACAAACAATAAAATGCTAGAAATACGATTACAATTAAATGCAAACTAACAACTATAAACTTGCACAAAACTAGTAAATAAACATTACAAACAATAATAAAAATGTATACTTAGGCACTAACAACTAGTGCCTATCAAACACCCCCACACTTGAACTTTTACTCGTCTCGAGTAAAACAAATCATGTCCATGAAGTTTCCAAACCAACAATTGTAGCAATTACAACCATTCACAAGTGTTTTTGAAAATCAACATAAAAGAATGTTTCAATGATCAAAACACATGAATAAAAGGTCTTCACCATCATTGGGTTTCTCTTCTTTTGCTCCTTATGTGTACCCTTAGGATCCTGCAAATACAAAAGAAATACTTTCTCTCATTCTCTCATTTTGCCTAGGTGCCCTTTTGGGTTTTCATCCCAGCTTCCCACATTTTCCTTTTTAATTCTCCCCAACTCACTCTTCTTTTTTGCTTTTATTTTGCTTAAGTTGCCCTTTTTGGGTTTTCAACCTAACAAGCTTAAATATTATTTTTTTTTTGTTTTTTTTTTGTTTTTATATAGCAAGAATAAAGAGTATGAAATGGGAGCATACCAGAATAATTCTCCCCCCCCAGCTAGTTAATGGCACTGCCCCTAGTGGCCGCCCGCATCTCCTCCATCAAAGAATCCACCCTGACCATAGTAGCTGTCATGAAAAGCGCCTGTATATGGGTATTCCTCATCGTTTGTGTCTGAGCTGCCGCCATATCCGCCATCACCACCTCCGAAATCCTTGTCAACACCATCACCGCCAGCTTGTCCACCTCCTCCGGAGCTAGATCCTCCGAAATTACCCCAATGTGAGGGGTCATACCATGTAGGATGTTGGACTGGAGTGGGCATGTGGGAAAAGTAGCCTTGCTGGTCAAAATATGCATACATAGGCCCAAAGGCCCGTCTTTGATCGTCTTCCACCCTTTGGTACGCACTGTAGAGATCGTCAATGCGTGTGTTCATTGCCGTTTGGTTAAGATTGAGTTGTTGTATACCGGCCAGCATTTGTTGTTCAAAGGGAGTGTATTGAGGGGGTTGGGGATCGGGTTGTGGCTCTTCTTGTGGTTGTTCGGGGCTGGGTGGTGGCTCAAGTTGAGGAATGTCATAAAGATAGTGGTCAGGGGTAGTTCCGGGTAGGCAAAGATGTCTCATATCCCCGAGTTGATGGTTAAAGATGTTTGGAAGTTCATCGGAGGGGATTGTAAAAAATTGTGTGGGTGAGGGGTTAATGGTCCAATGGTAAAATGCTGTGGTCCCAATGGTGTGGGAGTGACTCACGTCATGTGCAGTGAGTAGGAACTTAAGATTAAGGAAATTCCAATCTTGAACTTGTCTATTTGCACAATAGCCAAATTTGGTACATATATGATGTATGTACCCTCCTATGAAAATTTCACCCATAGCTTCACATTCCTTTTTTAAATGGTCCCACAAAATTGAAGCAAGATCTAATCTAGGAGCTTCTGGGAAGATACCCATAGCAAGAACGGCCAATTCACTAATCCTTGTTTGATGATTATTTGGCTTCCCAAAGACATGATACCCAAACCATTTTAGTGCGATTCGAAGGGCAGGGTGTTGAACATGTGTAATATGCATATGTGAAGATTTAAACACCCTAACCCCTGTCATTCTTCGCCACAAATCATGCACAATGGTCTTATCACTTCTTACCTTTCTTTCCTCCACACCTAAAACCGGTAGACCAAATAGCTCGGCAAACTCACGTTTCGTTAAAGTTCTTGGTATGTTGTTATACCGAAACGTGAGTTTGCTCTCATAGGTGTCCTCTTTATCCTCAGTAAATTCAACCGATGCTAGGAACTCATACATAATTCTTTTGTAGATATTATAGGACATGTGGAACAATGTAGTAAGTCCTATGTTGTTGCACAATTCTAGCATCATATCATACAACATCAATGCTCGCAATGTTTCATGACAAAGAAATCGTGTGGAATGTACCTCTCGGTTGAGTTGGGTGAGGAATTTCTTGTGATGAGCCCTAGACGTGAATTCGATGCTTTCATACCCCAGAACTTGTGGAATTGGAGCACTTGAATTGGAGGAAGATGCTCTAGTCCTTTTAGGTGCCATAGTTAACTTTTTCTTGAACTTTGGGGTTGGATTTTCGGACTTGGGGCTTGGTGGAGTGAAAAATGTGGACTTTTTGGGAATTGGGTGTTTTTGAGGGTGTGGAGGTGTAGAGAATGATGTGGGGAAGAAGAAATGAGGTTAGGTTTGGGTTAATTTGAGGGAAAATCGGACCTTGAGGATTTGGGTATAGGGTTTTTCGGATTTGGGGATTTTGGGGTGTTTGGTGTTTTTTGTGGGTGTAGAAATGGAGAGGATGATGTGGGGAAGAAGAAAATGGAGTTTATTTGGGATTTAGATGGATGATTGGAATGGATTGGAGCTTGGAAAGTTTGGCTATGGAGGTTTGGGGGATTTGTTGTTTGGGGAAGAAGAAGAAGATGGAGGGTTGGGGAAGGATTTTGGGTGAAAATCCCGTAAAAAGGGCTTGTTTCGCACAAATACCCGGCCGGGTACTCCTGATACCCGAATGGGTATTCTATTTCCCGTAGGCAGAAGCTTTTTTGGCTAAATACCCGGTCGGGTTTTTGTAATACCCGGTCGGGTATTAGGCTATTTTTTTGCCTTTTCCTTTATTTTTACCCGGCCGGTTTTCTTGTAATACCCGAATGGGTTTTTGCTTTTCTGGAAGGCAGAATGTTTTTTTTTATTGAATACCCGGTCGGGCATTTGTAATACCCGGTCGGGTATTAGGCTATTTTACACCGTTTTTTAATTTTTTTGATGCCCGGCCGGTTTTTTGGTTGATACCCGAATGGGTACACTTGACAGTAGCTCCCAGGGGTGAAAAAAATGCAAAAACCCGGTCGGGTTGTCTACATACCCGGTCGGGTTTTTATTATTTTTTTTGATTTTTCATTTTTTTACCCGGTGGATGGAATGGCCGGGTATTCTCTTTTTGTGCTGATACCCGACCGGGTTTGGGAACAACCCGGGCGGGTTTTTCTCAAAATTATATTTTTTTTTTTTTGAAAAGATTTTACACACACACTCTACTAAAATAAAAAGAAGAAAAAAAAGAAAAAAAATATACCGTGCATGGGTTGCCTCC